GGGATGGATCCCCTTGATCCAGGGATGGATCCCCTTGATCCAGGGATGGATCCCCTTGGTCTAGGGATGGATCCCATGAACCCTGGGGCAGGATCCATGGATCCCCTTGATCCAGGGATGGATCCCCTTGATCCAGGGATGGATCCCCTTGGTCTAGGGATGGATCCCATGAACCCTGGGACAGCATCCATGGATCCTCAATCAAGGGATAGATCCCATGGGAGCATCCCTGGGGCAGCATCCCTGGATCCCCTTGATCCTGGGATGGACCCCATGAACTATGAGGTGGGATCTATGGATCCCCTTGATCCAGGGATGAATCCCCTTGATCCGGGGATGGATCCCACAACCCCAGGGCAGGATCCATGGATCCTTGCAGGGTTGCTATCCAGGGACACATCCCCCTCCACCCGTGTTGTGCATTTTCCCATGGAACATGCCGGGATCTGGGATCCCGGGCGCTGGCTCCGCCCCCCAACATTCCCTGCTCCCCTTTTCCCTGCAGCCCAACACTTCTGGATCTGCCGGGAAGCCATAACACTGGGAAGGATCCTGGGAGAAGGATTCTTTGGAGAGGTCTACGAGGGGATCTACACCCCCCCGGTGAGCCCCCTGCCCGCTCCCCGCATCCGTCAGGGATCCAGGATGCGGCATTCCCAACTTTTCCCTGCCCCCCTTCCCCCCCCTGCAGGAAGGGGAGCGGATCAGCGTGGCCGTGAAGACCTGCAAGCAGGATTGCAGCCCGGAAAACAGGGAGAAGTTCCTCAGGGAAGCAGGTATATCCCGGGAATGCCGCCGAGCCCGGGGGTAGGGCAGCGGAGCCGCGGATTCTCCAGGGATTAGCCAGGAGTGGGAAGAGTGAAAACAGGGAGGGGGTGAGGAGGGGGGGTGTTCCCAGTTCTCCAGGGCCTTGTCCTGACACCTCCTGGAAAAGTAGCCTTTGGAATGCAGGGCAGAGCAGGATGGGTCCCATGAACCCTGGGCAGGATCCATGGATTGCCTTGATCCATGGATGGATCCCCTTGATCCAGGGATAGATCCCATGGGAGTATCCATGGGGCAGGATCCATGGATCCCCTTGATCCAGGGATGGATCCCCTTGATCCAGGGAGAGATCCCATGGGAGGATCCATGGGGCAGGATCCATGGATCCCCTTGATCCAGGGATGGATCCCCTTGATCCACGAATGGATCCCCTTGATCCTGGGATGGATCCCCTTGATCCAGGGATAGATCCCATGGGAGTATCCATGGGGCAGGATCCATGGATCCCCTTGATCCAGGGATGGATCCCCTTGATCCAGGGAGAGATCCCATTAACCCTGGGGAAGGATCCGTGGATCCCCTTGATCCTGGGATGGATCCCCTTGATCCAGGGATAGATCCCATGGGAGTATCCATGGGGCAGGATCCATGGATCCCCTTGATCCAGGGATGGATCCCCTT